GGAGATGAATTTATCTATTGTTATCAATATATAGTCCGTTTTGTAATACAAGTTTGTTAATATCTAACTGAAAAAAAACGTTATAAAATCTCCACCAAAATTCATGACTTTCTTCTCATCAACAAATTCGAATTCTAAAAAAGTATCCAAATCAAAACTTGATAGCTTTGAAAGCATCGAAAATCAAGCTCCAGTAGTACAATAAACCTTTCTCAAAAGACAATTTCTTTTAAACTCTAAAAAAAAAATATAATATAATCACTCTTCTAACAATAAAAATGAATCCAACTACCGTCGTCACTAAACCATCAACCGCTACTGCTGGACTTACTAAAGAGCCAAGTAAAACTGGCACAGGAGCTTGTTCTATCATGTAAAAACTCTTTGTCATTTGGCCAGGTGTCAAATTTTATTGGATCTTGTTCGGATTTTTTGATCATTTTAAATTGAATAATTATTTTTGCGAGTCTTATTCTTTTTTTTGTTTTTAAGTATCATATTATTTTTTAATAAAATTTGTTTCGTTATTTATTTTTAAATATAATTGTAATATTTTTTTTTTTCAAGTTAAATTTTTTCAATATCACCGACTTTTGATAGTTCAAAGATTTGCTGCGCCAAAATGGTTACAACAAACCAACCATAAATTGTATGTTTCTTTTAAAAAACCAAAAATTTGATGAAACGGGGGGTACAAATAAATGGAAAAAATTCATTATGACAAAATTTAACACAATATACACCACCTAATGCTACTAATCATTTGTATGATAATATGGGAGCTGTATATTAAATGAACTTTATTTGGTAAAATTTACATCGATCATTTCTATAAAATCTAATTTTAGACATTACACAGAAATTTAAGCATTTTTGCCGGCCAAATTACTTGTTTTATATATAAAAATGCTTCGGAGTATGGTTTTAATAGCAAAATCTCAAAAATCTCAAGTGTTACGAAATTGATGTAACAATATTTTTGACATGGCGGATTTAATAGCAAAATTT